ACGAAACGTGTGAGGGGTGTGCCAGAATGGGGGGTGGAACCGCATGCGGGCGCAGCCACTGGGGCCTTCGGTGGAGCTCCCTATGGGGCCACGAAACGTGTGAGGGGTGTGCCAGAATGGGGGGTGGAACCGCATGCGGGCGCAGCCACTGGGGCCTTCGGTGGAGCTCCCTATGGGGCCACGAAACGTGTGAGGGGTGTGCCAGAATGGGGGGTGGAACCGCATGCGGGCGCAGCCACTGGGGCCTTCGGTGGAGCTCCCTATGGGGCCACGAAACGTGTGAGGGGTGTGCCAGAATGGGGGGTGGAACCGCATGCGGGCGCAGCCACTGGGGCCTTCGGTGGAGCTCCCTATGGGGCCACGAAACGTGTGAGGGGTGTGCCAGAATGGGGGTGGAACCGCATGCGGGCGCAGCCACTGGGGCCTTCGGTGGAGCTCCCTATGGGGCCACGAAACGTGTGAGGGGTGTGCCAGAATGGGGGGAACCGCATGCGGCGCAGCCACTGGGGCATGCCACGCATGCCGCTGGGGCCTTCGGTGGAGCTCCCTATGGGCCACGAAACGTGTGAGGGGTGTGCCAGAATGGGGGGTGGAACCGCATGCGGGCGCAGCCACTGGGGCCTTCGGTGGAGCTCCCTATGGGGCCACGAACGTGTGAGGGGTGTGCCCGAATGGGGGGTGGAACCGCATGCGGGCGCAGCCACTGGGGCCTTCGGTGGAGCTCCCTATGGGGCCACGAAACGTGTGAGGGGTGTGCCAGAATGGGGGGTGGAACCGCATGCGGGCGCAGCCACTGGGGCCTTCGGTGGAGCTCCCTATGGGGCCACGAAACGTGTGAGGGGTGTGCCAGAATGGGGGGTGGAACCGCATGCGGGCGCAGCCACTGGGGCCTTCGGTGGAGCTCCCTATGGGGCCACGAAACGTGTGAGGGGTGTGCCAGAATGGGGGTGGAACCGCATGCGGGCGCAGCCACTGGGGCCTTCGGTGGAGCTCCCTATGGGGCCACGAAACGTGTGAGGGGTGTGCCAGAATGGGGGGTGGAACCGCATGCGGGCGCAGCCACTGGGGCCTTCGGTGGAGCTCCCTATGGGGCCACGAAACGTGTGAGGGGTGTGCCAGAATGGGGGGTGGAACCGCATGCGGGCGCAGCCACTGGGGCCTTCGGTGGAGCTCCCTATGGGGCCACGAAACGTGTGAGGGGTGTGCCAGAATGGGGGGTGGAACCGCATGCGGGCGCAGCCACTGGGGCCTTCGGTGGAGCTCCCTATGGGGCCACGAAACGTGTGAGTGGCGCGGCGCTGACGATGACGATGATGATGCGATGATGATGATGATGATGATGATGATGATGATGATGATGATGATGATGATGATGATGATGATGATGATGATGATGATGATGATGATGATGAGATGATGATGTGATGAATGATGATGATGATGATGATGATGATGATGATGATGATGATGATGATGATGATGATGATGATGATGATGATGATGATGATGATGATGATGATGAGGATGATGAGGATGATGATGATGATGATGATGATGATGATGATGATGATGATGATGATGATGCGATGATGACGATGACGATGACGAGGAGGAGGAGGAGGGAGGGGGCAGCGGGAGGAAGGAAGGAGACGCAGGGCACCGTCTCTTCAAAACGAGGACCCAACACCACAGGATGGTTGGGAAAAACTCCGCCTTGATTTTTTCTATGCGTTGGATCTCTGGGTGGGGGGACCTCAGGGATCGGGGGCGGAAAGATCGCCTGAGCCTGCCCCCCCCCCCAAGCCGAGGACGGAAGCCGAGCCGGACTGGCCTGCCCAGCGCGCCCGGTCCTGTGCGGCAAGGGCCAGGTCGCAGGAAGAGCCGCGGCGGTGCGACGGCGTCTCGGCTGCCCCCGGGGGCACGCGCCCTGCTCTCGTCTGAAGAGGTGAAGCGGAGGGAAGGTAACAAAATACGCGGGTGCGGGCAGTGGACGGCCGACCCTGCGTGGATCGCAGACGTGGCTTGGAAAGTAGGCGAATCGAGAGATCCGCCACCGCACATCTGGCACGAAGTGGAGTGCCCCAAGGCGCATGCAGCACTGAGAGCGCCGTGCTGCTGCTGCAGCCAGAATTGTAAGCCTTTCGGGGCCCTGACCAGTCGTTCTTGGATTTCCCGGGGTCCGCCAGAATCCATCGCGTCGGCCTACCCCGCACAGGAGGGTCCCAAACCGAGCCCAGATGGCTCCAAGAGGCTCCGAAAATTTTCAAAGAGGGCCCAAGATGGCCTCAAGATGGCCGAAGAGGCCTCCAAGACGCCACCCACAAGGCCCGCCCAGAGGACCCCAAGAGGCAAAAACAATTGGTTTCCTTAGTTTTTGGAAGGATTGAACACGAACCGAAAATCCGAGCCTTCCGCCCCAAGGGGCCCCCCACCCCCCAGGAGGCCCCAAGATGCGCCCAAGAGGCCCCGAGAGGCCCCCAAGAGGTCCTCAAGAGGCCCCAAGAGGCCCCCAAGAGGCCCAAAAGAGGCCCCAAGAGGTCCTAAAAGAGGCCTCAAAACTGCCTCCGAGTGGCGCCCGAGAGGACTCCACGAGATCCCAACGAACATCCAACAAGCTTTATACCCACAACCCAGGCACGGCGTCAGGATGGGCCGAAGGCCATTAGATAGGTGGACATACGGCGTGCGCCTACGCACGGATGATTACATGGATCTAACCCTGTGGTTGCCCCACTCCTGCATGGCCAAAGAAGCTGTGGGCTGGTGGGGATAACTGAAGCGTCAGGAACCGACCGCAGAGTGAGAGGAGGGCAATGATGATGACGAAAACGAGGCAGAGGCCAAAGACGAAGAAGAAGAAGAAGAAGAAGAGTGAGAAGAGGAGGAAGCGAGAAGAGGAAAGATGATGAGGGGGCTTTCCCCTCTTATACTGCTCCTCAGCCTCCACCTCCTCATTCCCTGTCACCTCTCCGCCTCCGCCTTCCCACCTCCTCCTCCTCCTCCTCCTCCTCCTCCTAATCCTGCCCCTGCTACTTCCTTTCGGGCTGATGGGCTATCTCCGCTTTTTCTCGTGCACAGCAACCGCGCGAAGTCCATCTCCTCATTGGACAGCACAATGAACGCCGTCATTGGACAGCACAACGAACGCTACCCGCGCTGGCAACGCTTCAAAATACTACATGGGCTCGCAAGCGCTCGATGTCGCACCTGCTCCATCATTCATGGACCCTCTGTCTGGGCACTCGGCGATCTTCGGACGGTCTCGGGCGTTCTCGGAGCGATCTTTTGCGCGAGGGATGTAAGACGAAGCCAGGACGATTAGAATTCGGGCGATGATGAATCGAGAACCTCTAAGCACCAGCGGCCCTGCAGGATGTCTCGGGCGCTGGTGCACTCTGGCGAAGGGTCCCTCTCAGTCGACCCGTATCATAAGGATGCACGATAAGGATGCAGAAGGGCCTGGGAAGGCCGCTTCGGAGGTGGAGGAGGAGGAGGAGGAGGGACACTTGGCGAGCGGGGCGCGGCCAGCGCGAGCGACCAAGGATGGACCGAGGAGGCAAAGATGCCAGGGCAGCCTTGGGAAGGCTGCCCGTCCCCACTCTGCGGGCTGACTGTACCCCAGATTTCGCAATAAAAGGGAGGGGGTCTCGACCCTCCCAGACGAGGAGTTTTGGACCCCCCGCCCCCCGCGTGGGAGAACCCTCGAAAACATCGCCCCCAGACCCCCCAGGCCCTTCAAGACAGCCTGGAAGAGACCCCCCCGAAATTGAGACCCCCCTCCCTTTATGACGAAACCTGGGGCACAGCCTTGGGACGGCTGCCCGCCCCCACTCTGCGGGCGGACTGCACCTGCCAGTCGAGTGGAGCACCGGACACGCACTCGGGGCGACGACGGGGGCGAATAGCCCAGGGGAGAGCAGTACACCCTGCGAAATGCTCAAGGAATCATGGGTTAAGAAATTCATAGTCTCAGAACTTGAACAAAAACCCAAGATTTCTATCAAGATCTTAAGATTTACATTGAAGCGTTAAGAATAATCGAGACTCTGGCCGAAAACTTAAGTTTTCTTCAGCATCGCCTAAGGTGTACGTGTGTCCAGTGGCGCCGATGGTCCATGCCTTCGGCGAGGCTCCCGGGCGAATAGGTAAAATGCCCGCCGCTGGGCTCTTCGCCCCTATCGTCGCCCCCGACGCACCGGTCCCCCGCCCCGGCGCGCCCTGGACTTCGGTCGGGCATGTCCCCCCACAGGCGCATCTTGGGCGAAAGATCAAGAAGGCTCAGAACACACCGGAAGAGAATCAAAAAATATTCAATCAAATCTTCCCCTGACAATTTGTTTTTGACTATTATTGAATATTCCTCCTGTACGGGGGCATCCCGACGTAACCCTGGCTGGACCCGACCGTGGGGACCCTCCTGGCCGAGGCCAGGACGGCGCACGCAGCGCTCCGTGCGGGCCCAAGGTCGTGCGCCACCACGGCGTCGATTCCTCCTCCCTCCTCTGCCCTCCTCTTCCTCTCCTCTTCCCTGGTGGAGGAAGGGGGGTGAGGGAGGCGGTGGTGGCGTATATCCTCGGGCCCTGTACTCCGTGGACCAGGGCGGGCCTGATCCGAGATGACGGCGGGGTCTGACTGCCATTCCTGGTGGCGCGCACAAGGGGGGCTTAGGGGGAAGGGGGGAAGGCTCCTTAGAAGGAGACAGCTTCTTAGAGGCGCGGGCCTCACATCTGTAGACACGGCCCGCGCCATCTTGGAACCAGGGGTGCCTCTAAGAAGCCTTCCACCCTCACCCTACCCCCCCTCTGCGCGTGGCCGAGGGTGGTGTCTGTGTTTGACTGCCTTTTATAGACAAGCGCGTTCCACTACTCGCAGAGTAGCTGCTCGTGAATGGCCTGCATCTGCGGAAGAGGGACTCACGATCCATGGTATCGAGGCAAGCATGTTTTTGTTCGGATACTTGCCAATTGGCACTTTGCGAGTAGTGGAATGCGCTCGGTGCGTTAGTTCACTGAATCGGAACTGGCACGACATCGCGAGTAGCAGCCCTCTCTGGCTCCCTCCAGGATCGCCAGCGAGAGAAAATCCCCAGGGCGCGCTGGGCAGCGATCAACAGGGAACAAGCCAAGACACACCAACACCCGAACCGTCTCAACAAATCCGCCGCCCCCTTGGGTTAGGTTCGAATAGGGGAGCGACTACAGAATTGATTTACCCCAAAATTGATTTGTTCGTCGAATCCATGACAAATGCGTTTAATGCTCGTAGATCTACGTGTTTGTACATTCGGCGAGAAAATCAGTCTTGGGGTACATCAACTCTGTAGACGGTGTCACTCATCGGCGGGCGAGATGCTTCCCCATCCCCAATAACCCCTTCCCCAGGAGCCCGGTCCAGTCCTTGTGGACGGGGGAGGCCACAAGGCCGCTCAAGAAGCCCCCAAGACGGCACCAGAGGGGCCACAGGACAGCCCCGACAGGGAGCTCTGGGAGGCCCCCAAAAAAGCCACCAAGAGGCTCCCAGGAGGCCAACAAAGGGTGCAAAAACTGCCTCCCGAAACGCCTCGCGCAAGACCCCATCTGCCATCCGCGTGGCCTCCGACCCGCAGCCCAGGCACGGTGGAGGGATGTGCCGAAGGCCATGAGCAAAAGAACTCCAAGAACTCACCAAGAAGCCCCCAAAAGGCACCCAAGAGGCCCTCAGAAGTAACACGCAAGAGCCGCCAGTCCCCAAAGTTGCCGGCGGTGTGACGCAAGCCTCAGAATCTTTAGAGAAACCCAGACCCCTGAATTCAGGGAACAAACAATGACGTAAACATCTGCGCGGATTTGTGACATCGGCGCCGAGCCCCCCTGGCGAGCGGAGCGCGCCAGGGGCGGCGCCGGAGGCGGCGCCAGGGGCTTCTGGCGCAGATCCCAGAAATCCGCGCGGACCTCCGAAAATTCGTGTTTACGTCATTGCTTCTCCCCCGAATTACCTCTTTCTGCCGTTTCATGTGCCCTGTCCACTCCGCCTGCCATGGTAACACAAGTCGCTACAACGGCACCCCCATGTAGTTAGCTTTCCGCCAATGCAGTTACTCTTCATAGCCGCCGACGCAGAAGAGGGGGGGGAAACAGTAGGACCCCACATGATAATCGGATTAAATTGTCTTTAACCCTGTCCGTCTCGCCCCTGGCGGACACCCTCCTTTCGCCCTCTGCTCTACCCTCTCTTCTTCCTCCCTTTTCTTGTTCCCCTCCTCCTCCCCGTTTACCTCCTTTTCCTCCTCCTCCTCCTCCTCCTCCTCCTCCTCCTCCTCCTCCTCCTCCTCCTCCCCCTCCTCCTCCTCCTCCTCCTCCTCCTCCTCCTCCTCCTCCCCCTCCTCCTCCTCCCCCTCCTCCTCCTCCTCCTCCTCCTCCCCTCCTCCTCCTCCTCCTCCTCCTCCTCCTCCTCCCTCCTCCTCCTCCTCCTCCTCCTCCGCCCCCTCCTCCTCCTACTCCTCCTCTCCTCCTCCTCCTCCTCCTCCCTCCTCCTCCTCCTCCCTCCTCCTCCTCCTCCTCCTCCTCCTCCTCCTCCTCCTCCTCCGCCTCCTCCTCCTCCTCCTCCTCCTCCTCCCTCCTCCTCCTCCTCCTCCTCCTCCTCCCTCCTCCTCCTCCTCCTCCTCCTCCTCCTCCTCCTCCTCCTCCTCCTCCTCCTCCTCCCTCCTCCTCCTCCTCCTCCTCCTCCTCCTCCTCCTCCTCCTCCTCCTCCTCCTCCTCCTCCTCTCCTCCTCCTCCTCCTCCTCCTCCTCCTCCTCCTCCTCCTCCTCCTCCTCCTCCTCCTCCTCCTCCTCCTCATTTTCCACCTCCTCCTCATCATCGTCCATCGGCCTCCCCCATACCATCCCCTCCCACTCATCCTCCTGCCTGTTCTCCACGCGCACTTCCCTGCCCCCCTGGTCGGGGCAAGCAAGTCGATTTTCCTAAGCGCCGCCGCCGCCTCGGTCAGCGCGCGCGCGTGTTCGCCGACTGCTGGATCACGAAGCCTTCGGGGCAATCGCGCGGGCCACGCCTTCGGGGCTACCCAGCGGGCCGCTGGGGCGCGCGGGCAGTCCGCCGGGACAAACCCGCGGGCCAAGCCGTCGGGACAAACCCGCAAGCCTCGAAGCAGGCGCGGCCGCGCTCAGGTGGGGGGCAGCCCGAAGCCCAGCCGCTCTGCGAGCAGCTCCGCGCCACCCCTGGAAGTCCTCGTTTTCTCGCTGAACTTCTCGAGCACCTTCCGCAAGGACGCCGGCGGCCGGCGCTTCAGAAACTCGCGCGAGGGCGGCCGCAAGATCAGCGCGCTCCACGCGCACGCGGCGCGGGAAAACTCGACGTGGAGACGCAGCAACCGCTGTTCGCCCGACATGCCCGCGCGGCCAGCGCCCTCGTCCCTCGCGCAGTCGATGACGAGGCCCTTGCACAGCGCCCGGCCCTGCGACAGCGTGGAGGCGGGGTAGGACGCGTGCGTCAGGGTGAACCCCGAGCGGCGCACGACGTGCGGCCCCGAACTCTGCCACGTGAGTTCCTGCTCGCTGGGCCTGAACACGAGCGAACTCCTCGCCCCCGCCTCGGCGTCGCTGTCGTCGTCGGCGCCTTCGGCGCCCTGTCGCAGCAGCTCGGCGACCTCCTGGTAGATCGGAGACTCCTTGAAGCCGTGCACCTGCAGCCAGAAACCCTGCGGTAGGCAGCGGGGGCGAAAGAACTGGCCTGGCGCGCACTCCTCGTTTCCCGGGTGATGCCCGAGGAGCCCAAAAGTGACGACCGTTACTGGATTCGCGTGACCCGCTCGGATTTCCAACTCAAACTGCGGGCCCCAAAGGGACGGGGCTCCGGCCTGAAACATCCTCACAATTTACTCGCAGACGAAGCTCCCGCTCGAGACTTTCTCCATTTTCACGCCTCAGGCGCCCCGAAATGACGGCAATTACAAATGTCCGATGACCTGGTCGGATTACCAACATGAAGTGCGAGCCCCAATGGAGGGGGTTCCGGCCTGACACTTCCTCGCAAGTCGCTCACAGACGAGGTTCCCGCTTGATACTTCCTTCATATTGAAGCCTAGCGAGGCCCAAAAACAACGGCGATCACAGGTTCCTCATGACCCGTCCGGATTACCGACATGAAATGCGGGTCTCATAGGTAGGGGGCTCCCGCCTGAGACTTCCTCACAATTCACTCACAGACGAGGCTCTCGCTCGAGACTTCGTCCATATTCAAGCCTGGGGAAACCAAAAATGACGATAAGTACAAGCTTCCGATGACCCGCTCCGATTGCCCCATGGAGAGGGGGCTCCCGCATGAGACTCCCTCTCAATTCTCTCACAGACAAGGCTCCCGTTTGATATTCCTCCATATGCAGGCCAGAGTAAGCCGAAAATGACAACAGGTACAGGATCCCGATGACCCGCTCGGATTAATAACATGAAACGCTGGCCCCATAGGGAGGGGGCTCCCGCCTGAGACTTCCTCGGAACTCACTCACAGACGAGGCTCCCGCTCGAGACTTCCTCCATATTGAAGCCTGACGAAGCCAAAAATGACGACATTTACCGGATCCAGACGACCCGCTCGGATTAGTAACATGATCTGCGGTCTCCACATGGAGGGGGCTCCCGCCTGAGAATTCCTCGCAATTCACTCAGTGGTAGTAATGAGTGGGTGAGGGAACCACTCAGAAGAAGTGAGTAAGTGAGCGGGATAGTCAGTGAAGTTATCAGGGAATGAGAATGAGCGAGGGAATGTGAGTGAGTGTCTAAGTGATGATGATGATGTGGGTGTGTGAGTGTGTGAGTGTGTAAGGAGTGAGTGGTGAGGAAGAAAAAAGGAGGAGAAGAGAGATCCTGCGCGGGGGGGGGGGGCAGAGACAACGAGAACCCCAAATCAGGATGTGGGGAAAAACGTGTGAACGTCATTGCTTGTTCCCCGAATCATGGCTTGCTCCCCGATGGAATCCTACCTGCCGCGCGACCCCGGAGCGAAAGGCCGCAGCCTCGGCCTCGGTGGGAGGCGCCGCGCCGGCGTCCAGAAGGCCGGGCCCCTCCACGCGGCGAGCGGCGCTCTCGAAACGAGCGGCCGCCGGGGTCCTCCCGCTCGGGGAGGCGTAAAAGTCAGGTTCGGGCGACTCGGGCTGGCCTGACTGACTACCTACCAGACCACCCCAACCCAACCCGAAGACCCGAATTTGACCCGAATTTCGGGTTGGGGGGGGTACGGATACCATGTGTTTTTTCAACGTTCCCCGACCCCCCCCCCACTGGAAATCGAGGATAAATTTGGGCCTTCGGGTTGGGTTGGGGTGATTTGGTGGGTGGTGACTGACGGGGCCGTCGATAAACTGGCGAGAAGCCCGGTCAGAAGTTTGAAGCGAGCTCTCGCTGCAAACCTCCCACGAGAACTGGGCCGTCAAAGCTCGGGACGGGCCCGTCAGGAAGCGTCGGCTGACCCGGGTTCCAGCGAACTCGAGTCTTACGTTGCCCCGACTGGCGTAAACGGGCCAGGGCTCGTCCCAGCAGACCATCGCAGAACCGCAAGGAGGGAGAAGAAATCGGGGAGACTCGAGGAGCAAAAAGCGACATAAACAGAAACTTTCGGAGGTCCGCGCGGATTTCTTGGATCGGCGCTGGGCCCCCCTCTCTGGCGAGCGGAAGCGCGCCAGGGTGTCCTAGCGCAGATCCAAGAGATCCGCGCGGACCTGCGAGAAATCGCGACAATCCTCAGAACGCGTGCTAGTGCCAACGCAATTGTCCATCGAGACCCTTCTTTGCGACAAAGGCGATGTAATGACCGATCGGTGGAGCTCAAGGGGACAAACGCACATTCGGCCAATACACGGCTTGAGGACCATCGGGAATCGTGTCTACGCCACTTCTGAGTATCGTTTATCCGATCCCTATCCCCAGCGGCGTGGCCTGGGCCCCACTGGCCGATTTACCCCCCTGGATGGGGACATGGGCCGTTCCCTTCGGGTTTCGAGGGGTGTATCCCCAACTGGGGGGGGGAATTTGGTGGGGGTCTCGAAGGGGATGGGGATGGGGATGGGGATGGGGGTCAGCTAAACGATACTGCACCTCGTGCTCTTCGAGACACGGAGTGCGTGCCGTGGCCGCAGACTGCTCGAGCCCGCACCGGGGCCCAGCCGTTCCCTCGGAGGCTGGGGCCGCTGCCAGAGGCACCCGGCGGAGGCCCACCGCACTCGCACGGGCGCGGCGAGGGCCACCGAGGCCACCGCTCGCGGCTCGCAGAGTGACTACTCACAGATGGCCCGGGTCCGCCGCGGGGGAGGCACGATCCACTGCACACAGTGGGGGCCCATGCCAAGAAGCACCCTACGTGCCTCCAGGGTGCCCCGCGTTCCTTGGGTGTCGATGGTTTCGCTACGGAAGGCGTGACGCTCCCACACCGAAAATCAGTGGGCGTCCCGGGGTCTCAGGGTTCGGGCTTCTCATGGAAGGTTTCTTGTGGTCGGGCCCCCACTGTATGGGAAGGCACGCTGTTCTCGGACGTTTGCTAGTAGGCATTTTGCCAATGGCGGAGCGCGCTCGGTGATAAAGGCTGGTCGCCCAAACATACCCCCACCACATCGGATTGGGCGTTGCCAGAAGTGCCCCTGGTCCAAGGTGTCCTCCGAAGTTGCGGCGGCAGCGCTGCCCGACGCTGCTGCGGAAGCCTGCCGGCATCGGGGGCGTTTGTTCCAGGCTGGCCCTTGGGGGGCCCTGCCATCAGGTGCGCTCGTTCCTGCCAAGCGCGCATCTGGAGTGTCCATACTCGGAGCGTCCCTGGCCCACGGGGCCCGAGGTGTCCCCAGGATCTCCAGGGAGGCCCAAAGTGTCCTCCAGAGCACCCCATCGCGACCCGCCAGAGAGGCTCCCAAGGGGTTCCCGAGTGGCGCCATTTGCCGCCAGGCAGGACCCCCTCCAGCAACACACGGCATGAGGGCCTCGACTTCTGAGGGGGGTCTGAAACGTTGGCAACGTGCATCCTTGAAATCGCATCTGAAGTTCGAATCCGATGGGTCTCCTTCTGATGGGGTAGTGGTCGTTGGGTCACCGGTGAGAGTTTCGTGGGGCTCCGTGCGTCCACGGGTGAGACATCTGTGCACTCGCACCAAATCTACCGTCGACGACAGGCGTCGTCGCGAGCGGGCGCCCGTGGCGCCGGGAAGGGTGAGACGGAAGATTCCAAAAACAGCCGCAGTGCACCAGCACCACGAGGGGAAGCAGTGGCTCCAAAGGGGGAACCTCATCCTTCGGGGGCGCGCCAACATGGATTAGCGATCCACGGATTTGGTGCGCGGTCGCCAGATCCGTGGATCGGGGGAGGCGCCCTCCCCAAGATGCGGCCGGTGCCGCTTCGCTCGGCGGCGGAAATCCGCGATGTCCCACGGAAACGGGACCCGTCGCTAGTCCACGGCCCCACTGTGATCCATGCCTGATCCTCCTCCTTCTCCTCCTCCTCCTCCTCCTCCTCCTCCTCCTCCTCCTCCTCCTCCGCCTCCCAGTCCTGGCATCGGCAGTGCATCGCTGATGGACCGGCGAGATGTCCCCGACGGCAGCAGGACGGCACGCCCTCCCGAGCAGGGCGTGGGGCACGCACGGGCCCCTGGTCGTCTCGGGGCTGGCGCCTCCTGGCGGCGCGCACAGGGGGGCAGCGGGGGCGGCTTCTTGGAAGGAGGCTGCTCCTGAGAAGGCGCGGGCCGCACGCCTGCAGACGAGGCCCGCGCCTTCGAAGAGGCAGGGGTGCTTCTAAGGAGCCTGCCCCCCTGCCCCCTACCCCCCTGCCCCCACTACCCCCTGCCCCCTGCCCCCCTGCCCCCTACCCCCTCTGCGTGGTGGCTGGGCTGCCCCCCCCCCCCCGGGCCAGTCCCTCCGCCTCTTGGAGAGCGCGCATACACCGATCCATGACTCAAGGATGGGCCAGGAAAGGATCGGTCAGGAGGTGAGCTGAGGTCCCTCGAACCACCATCCCTGGCGCCGCCGCCGCCGCCTCCTCCTCCGCCTCCACCTCCACCTCCGCCTCCGCCTCCGCCTCCTCCTCCGCCTCTGCCTCCGCCTCCGCCTCCGCCTCCTCCTGCTCCTCCTCCTCCTCCTCCTCCTCCTCCTCCTCCTCCTCCTCCTCCTCCTCCTCCTCCTCCTCCTCCTCCTCCTCCTCCTCCTCCTCCTCCTCCTCCTCCCAGGCGCGCAGCAGGGGGGAGCCCAGGTCTCGAAGTCACCACGTTTTGCGCACCACGCCCCGCGACGCGCGGCGCTCCTCGCGCCCCAACACCGACCCCATGCAGAGGGGCGGCCCCAGCTGCGACGAACGCGAGGCGCCCGAGTGCCTGCCCTCGCGCCCCCCGGGGAGCGGCCCAGAACCCCGACGTCGTGACTTTTCGGCCACGACTTGGACCCCTGGAGTGCTGGACCCCTTCCCTTAGGAGGCAACCACTGGGAGGTGTTCCTCGGAAAGGTCAAGGAGGATTTAAGCCCCATTTGGGAGCTATTACGCCGGAGTGGGCCTCGGATTAAGCGGGATTAAGCCGGATTAAGCGGGACTAAACGGGAGTAGGCGGATTAAGCTGGATTAAGCCAGATTAAGCCGGACTTCGTACCAGTGCAAAATCAGAATCCCACCAGCCCTTTGGGCGTGAGTGGTTTAGAGAGCCCGCTCTGTTCTCAACCCCCCTTCTTCCCCTTCGGGGAGGGGTTTACCCCTCCCCCTACCCCTCCCCCTGGGCCTGGAGAGGGCGCCTCGCGGGTGGTCAGAGGGGTCTTTTTCGACTCCTGGGAGGGCTAAAAAACGACACCCCTCACGAGGATTCTGGCCCCGACGGGGGGAGGGAGAAAAAATGCTCTCCTCTTCTTTGAAGCCAAAATCATTGATTTTACTACGGTTTTGGGCCCATTTTGCCCTTCTGAGGGGGCAGCGCTAATTAAAGCTCCCTTCTTCTTTGATCGATTTCCTCCAAGATGGCCCCAAGAAGCGCCCAGGAGGCACCAAGAGGCCCCAAGATGGCCCCAAGAGGCCCCCAGGAGGCCCCCAAGAGGCCTCCAAGAGGCCCCCAAGATGCCCCCAAGAGGCCCCCAAGAGGCCCCAAGAGGCGCCGAAGACGCCCCAAGAGGCCTCCAAGAGGCTCCCAAAAGACATCTACTACTCCTTCTACTCCTACCACTACTACTACGCTACTCCCACCAGCCCTTTGGGCGTGAGTGGTTTAGAGAGCCCGCTCTGTTCTCAACCCCCCTTCTTCCCCTTCGGGGAGGGGTTTACCCCTCCCCCTACCCCCTCCCCCTGGGCCTGGAGAGGGCGCCCCGCGGGTCGTTGGAGGGGTCTTTTTCGACTCCTGGGAGGGCTAAAATTCGACACCCCTCACGAGGATTCTGGCCCCGACGGGGGGAGGCAGAAAAGTGCTCGCCCCATCTGTGATCGATCGCCCGACAGATGGCCCCAAGATTCCTCCCAGACCCCTCCCAAAGAGTCCCAAGAGGCCCCAAGAGGCCTCCAAGAGGCCCCCAAGATGCCCCCAAGAGGCCCCCAAGAGGCCCCAAGAGGCTCCCCCGAGGCACCCAAGACGCTCCTGGAAGCCCCTGGAGCCGCCAAGAGGCCCCCAAGACGCCCCAAACGGCCTCCAAGAGGCTCCCAAGAGGCCCGAAGAGGCTCCCCCTCCCTGGAGCGGCAGACTGCCCTGATGGAACTGCTGGGGTGGGAAGGCACGGTCCCTGGTATAGAAAAACGGTTTGCGATGCCTGCCGCGGCCTGGCGCGGACTCCCTGGTGACTACCTACCAGGCCACCCCAACCCAACCCGAAGACCCGAATTTCGGGTTGGGGGGGGTACGGGTTCCATATGTGTTTTCTCGATGTTCCCCGACCCCCCCCCACTGGAAATGGAGGTCAATTTGAGGCCTTCTGGTTGGGTTGGGGTGGTTTGGTGGGTGGTGACTGGTGGGGCAGACTGCCCTGATGGGGCTGTTGGAGCGGGAGGGTGGGCTCGCAGGAGGAGGGAAGGGGGAGGAGGAGAAGCAGCGGGAATGCTCCGAGAAAACGAGCAACACCACTCAGGATGTGGGAACAGCGGGAACAAAAATGCATACCTTCGCCGTGCGTGCTTGACTAGGTCAATACGGCCTCAACGCCACATGACTTTGCAGACAGCCCGCGAGCGCTCGCGAGAGGTGCCCTTCCGCTCGCGTCGGCTGCCCTTGCTGCTGCACCTGCTGCAACAGTGGCTGGCTGCTCGACTCGCCGATGCGGAATAAAAAAAGCGGAAGCCGCACGGCAGGCTCTTCTCGTGTCACCGCGTGAGCCACTCTATCGGGCACTCCTCCTCTCAGGCGCAGCCTTTCGGTGACGGGTGTCGCTTCGAACAACAAGCGCAGACGTCAATCCGGGTCTTCGCTGACGGTGGCACTGAAAGTGAGGTGAAGAAACGTGCACCTTTCGTGCGCCCTCTGGGCCCGCGGTGGGAGTCTGGGGCAGTTGTTTCGAGTCCCTTTCCGACCAGTTCCCTGCAAGCTTCGACACCCCCCCATTTTGCACACGAGGGCCGAACGTACCCACATCCACGCCCTCGCGGACTGGATCCCGGGGCTCGATCCCGTGGATTCGCCGTCGCACGGATATGTTCCGCGCGGAGCATCCGCGAAAGAACGCCTCGCATCCCCAGGATCGCGGCCCTGAGGCCCGGCCCGCAAGGCCGCGGATACGGATACGGGCTCGGCCCACGATTCTTAGCACCGTTGATCCGATACCTATCCCCACTGGCGTGGCCTCGCTCCCACCGGCCGATTTACCCCCCTGGACGGGGTGTGGGCTGCTCCCTCCGGGCTTCGAGGGGCATATCCACAACTGGGGTGTGGGGCGACGGGATCTGTACACATCCACTGCTCCTGGTCAGGCCCATCCTGGGCCCAGGAGCGGTGTGTGTGTGTGTCTCCCTGGCCAAGCTAGGAGGGCGTACACACAGCTCCTGGGCCCAGGGTGGTGAGATGGTGGTGATCTCGTCGCCGTGGGGTGGTGGGATGGTGGGGATCGAGATGGGGACGGGCATGGGCATGGGGATCGGTTCAACGATACCGGGATCCACTGCCCCGCCGATGCCGCCCGCCCGACCCGGCTCTCGCGGCTCAGCCTCGAACGACCCGCCGCCGAGAGTCCGAGCAAGCAGCCGCTGCCCCTGACGCGCCGCGCCGGGCGCCGCCGAAGGCGAAGAGCCAGGACGAGGGTAGGATCGGGTGAGGGTCGGTCGGGAACCCCCGAGATCCGGGGGATCCGGAGGACGTCCAGGGCGCCGCGGCCTCCTCAGAGCGTCCCGGAAAGCCCCGGGACAGACCTGCCCACGTCCCAGCCCCGCCCGCAGGGCCTGGGCAGTCGAAGCCAATCTGGCGTCTGGCGCCAATCTGGCAGGCCCAGTCTGGCAAGCGGGGGCCATCTGGCGAGGGAGCCAGCGCGAGTCCAGTCTGGCGAGTAAGCAAAATCCTCCGAGCTGGCCAGGCCAGATGGGCCCTCAAGACCCAGTCCAGTCTGCCAGTCTGGCCTTCGACTCCCCAGAAGGCCCCCGAAGTGGGCCTCGGAGGGGCCTCGCGCGGCGCGCGTGCGCCACGGGAGGGGCGGGAGGGCGGGAGGGCGCGGCGCTCTGCTGCGCCGCGGGCGAGGAGGCTGGGGCACCTTCGGTAGACAGGCGCGGTCCACGTCTCGCAAATGAGCTACTCGCAAATTGCCTGGATCCGCCGCGTGGGATTTACGAGATATATATATATATATATATATATATATATATATATATATATATACATACATATATATATATATAGATATATTACATAGAGGAAGGCATTTTTGTTTTGCACGTTTGCGAAAAGGCGCTTTGCGAGCAGTGGAACGCGCTCGGCGATTCGGGGATCTACTGACCCGGGTCAATCCAAACCCGGGTCAGTCGGGCCTTTCAGGATCCTACAGGATCCTGCACCCAGACCCGAGTCAGTGCAGCCCTGGCCCTGCAGGATCCTGCAAGATCCGGCGCGCTGACTGGCCCCTGTTTGCATTGACCCCCGTCTCAAGGCCCCCGACACCTGCCGAGGCGCCGGTCGCCGGTGGCCGGGAAGGGCGAGTGGCACCGTCGTGGCCCCGCTCGCCTCGTTCACGCCGGGCGGAGCGACGGTCGAAGCGACGGCCGATGCGTCGTGGCGTCGCTCTTGGCGACCTCGTCGAAGCGTCGGTCGATGTGCTCGCCCAGGTGCGACAGCCTGTCGAAGATGTCGTTCGACAGCGCGGTCAGCTCTGACATCTCGAGCTGGAGGATGGCAACATCGAGCTCCTTGGCCTCACCGCGCAGCCTGGTACAGCCCTCCCTGAACTCCTTTTTATCGATCGCGCCCGAATCATCCCTGTCCATGAGCTGGAACAGATTCGTCACCTTGAAGACATTTAAGTCGATCGCTCGAAAGTAGGCGTTTACCTTTGGATCCATGATCTTACTTTGGAGCTCATCGAGGCCAATCGTACCAGAGCGGTCTGGGTCAAGCTCATCGAACAACGTGTCCATGGTAAATAAGAAGTCGCGTTTGGCCTCCATCTCCGTCTGGACGACGTAGTCGCGGTCGTTTTTAGACCTCTGCATAGTGTTGTCAATGAAGATCCGCCACCGTGCCTTCAGCAAGCTGGAGTGATTTAGAGCGCTCGTTAGCTGTCTAGCAGCTTATATTTAATTTTCCTAAACGCCACACCATTCGCACTAAGCAATCCCCGTCGATGCCCCCTGGGATGGCCCCATGCAGCCCCAGGAGAGCTTCAAGATGGTCTGGAGGTGCCTTGAGGCGGCACCCAGAACAGCCAATCACGCAGATCTTCCCCAGAGGCTCCAAAATGCACCCAAGAAGCCTCAAAAGGCCATCGGAGGAGCAAAGCAGGTCCCAAGAAGTGTATCAATCAAAAGGCAAAACGATTGTGGAGAGCAACATGGCTCAACTAAATGGTCTGCGCTCTCGACCTCCCAGAAGGCCTCTGAAGGAGGCCCCAGAAACGGCCCCGAAGACGAGACGAGACGAGAGACGCTGAAGTGCGCGCCGGGGCGCGGCCCTCTTGATAGCGCAGCGGGAGGGCCGTGGACCATCAGATGTCGATGGGGACTTCGTCGGCGAGAGAGGGGGGAAATGAGAAGGAGAAGGACTTCTCAGAAGGCGGCGGGACTTCTCAGAAGCCCTGCGGCCTGCTGAGAAGTTTTCCGCGTCTTCGGGGACGGCTTGGAAAACTTCTCGGAAGCTGGGGGACGTCTGAGCCTTTTCAAAAGCCCCGCCCCTTCTCACTCCCCCCCTCTCGTTCGCCGCCGAGGAGTGCGCTCTTTGGGAGGAGGAAGAGGAGGAGGAGGAGGAGGAGGAGGAGGAGGAGCAGGAGCAGGAGCAGGAGCAGGAGGAGGAGGAGGAGGACGAGGACGACGACGACGACGACGACACGACTACGAGGACGAGGACGAGGAGAGGAGGAGGAGGAGGAGAGGAGGAGGAGGAGGAAGAGGAAAAGGAGGAGGGAAGAGGAGGAGGAGAAGGAGGAGGAGGAGCAGGAGCAGAGGAGGGAGGACGACGACGACGACAACGACGACGACGACTACGACGACGAGGACGAGGAGAGGGAGGAGGAGGAGGAGGAGGAGGAGGAGGAAGAGGAAGAGGAGGAAGAGGAGGAGGAGGAGGAGGAGGAGGAGGAGGAGGAGGAGGAGGAGGACCCCGACCCCAAGACGCTCCAAGGCCCGAGGGGGGTGCAAGAAGCCCCGAAGGCGGCCCAAGATCGGCCCCAGAGTGTTCCGAAACCGCATACAGACTCGAGCATGGAGGGCCAACACGCCGAGGCGCCTCGGGCGAACTTGTTCCGAGCATCGCGGCGGAAGCGGACACGAGCTCTCTTTCAAGTCCGTCGCGGGCGCGGGGAGGGGGAGGAGGAGGAGGAAGAAGAAGAGGATGAGGACGCCCGAATGGGGCCCCGACACGCTCCCACCAGGGCACCCCGAGAGGCCTCGGGAAAGGCGACTTGGAATCAGGAGGTTCCCGAGCTGGCTTGTCCTAATGTGCATTGCTGTCTGGTGCTGCGTTGCGTGGCATCTTGTGCTGCAAGTCGTTTCCCATACCCGCTACAGCAATGATCGTCAACTCTGGGTCGTCAAGTTGAGTCACTACGTTTGCAGTCCACACTGGTAGTGTCCGAAAACCGGGTAGCGGGGCAGTCTAGAGCGCGTGAAACGCCTGTGGGAGACGCTAGCAAGGACACTTGGAGGGGTCTGGGAAGCTTTGCAAGCTCGAGAAGAGAGCTGCGCAGGAGCCCAGGAAGAGCTTCGAAAGCAGCGAAAAGGCGTCCCCGAGACGTATGGGAACGCGTAGGAAGACGCTTGCTGGAACACGCTGCAGCTTCACAAGAGGCGCTGTGGGGATGCCTGCTTGGCGTCGGAAAGGCTCTGGGGCTATCCTGCGCTGCTGGCTTCCAATATGAAACCCTCTTAGCTCTCAGGGAGCTGTCCAGGAAGAATGGGAACCAATGTGTGAATCCTCCACACAGAGGGCCCCGATTGCAAGGCCTCAGGGGAAATCTCCCCTTGCGACCCACACCAAAGGAAAAATGCAAATCCCCCGCTGAAAGGAATCTCACTGTAAAGCCACACCGAAGGTTTCTATTTGGGATTTCACACGACAGGAATCAATGTGCAAATCCCCAAAACAATGCAACACGTAATCCACAATATATTTCTATGCGAATTCCACACAACGGCAATCAATTGGTAATAGCTCACACAAAAATCCCCGTTGCCAAGGAATCCGCAAAACTGAGCCTCTACATAAGAAAACTACACGTGGTCGATTGTTTATCCACGAGCACCTAAACTATATCCCGCTTCCGTTTTAGGGGGTAGAAAGTTGTAATAAGCTTGCCCTGTTCCTTGTGCAGAAAGCCTGGTGTGGGCGATGTACACATTGAACTCCAGGGAGGAGTATAGGTATGATATTGCTGTGCGGTTTTACGGTGCACAGTGTTGTGTGTAGGAGTACAGGTAGGAGTATAAATGAAATTTACACATAGGAGTACAGGTATGATATCGAGTACAGGTAGGAGCCAAGGAAAAAATACAGGTAGGAGTACAGATAGGATAGTGTGGTGCGGCGGGTTAGCAAGTTGCTTCCTATGGTGTGTCTGACAGAGGACAGAGGGAACACGTTCTGTGCAACTTTACAATTGGGGCTCTCTTGTCTGAGGGATACATGAACTGACGACTGGTGTTGATTGCACATAAAGCTGTTTGCCACGCTGTTCGTTTTTCGCAGGACGTACACGCATGTGTGACGAGCCCAGCCCTCGCTTATGAATGTCAAATAAAATGTGCCCCGCGACTTCGCAACATCTTTCGCAAGGTTTGATACTAGGCCTTCTTGTGTTGTGGATGTTGAAATTGGTGCCTGGTGTGAACATTAGAAGTAGAATCTTCTGCGGAGCTGTACAACGGCACTTCTTTTATGAAGGATTTACACATTAGCTCCTCTTGTGTCGGTTACAACGAGAACCTGCCAGCGTACCGCTGTGGCACGAAGTGGAGAGTCCCCAGGTCCCTTGCTCAAATCCATGGGCCTGAAGATTGTTAATCGGACCCAAACCCAAAATTCACGGTTCTCCTGGGATTTCCCGAGTCTTCTCGCGTGACGTGTTCAAAGCCAAGAGGGCCCAAGACGGGCCATTAGAGCCCCAACAGGCCCCAAAGATGGTTCAAAAGGGCCCCGAGTAACCGAAACATCGCTGCAGAAGGCCCAAGATGGCCCCAAGACGACCCGAGAGGCCGCCAAGACGCCAAAAATTAACTCCATTAGGCGTCCCAAGAAGGCCCCAAGAAGTCAACATCGTATATGCTCGTAAAATCGTTTTAACGGAATTCTGGGGTTTGCCACTGTTCGAGCTTCCGACTGCACAAGACGCCCACAGAGGCCCCCCAGATCGCCCCAAGACGACCCAGAGGCCTGCAAGAGGGCCCCAAGACGGCCCAAGAGGGCTCCAGAGGGAGGACACGAACCAGAACTCCGAGCCTTCCGCCCAAAGAGGCGCCCAAGAGGCCTCAAGAGGCCCCCAAGAGACCCCAAGAGGCCCCCTAGAGGTCCCACAAGGCCCCAAGAGGCCCCCAAGAAGATCCCAAGAGGCCCCAAGAGGCTCCAAACCTCGACGAGATCCCAACGAACATCCAATCAGATCTACAACCCAGGCACGGTGGCGGAGTGGGCGAAAAGCCATTCGACCTGCTTGGCATGGGGACGGAAAGCGCGTGCACTGTGAGAGGGCGCGAGGTCGTTGGCTCAATGTCTTGGAGCCCTGCTGGTGTTACGGTTTTGACACGAAATACAAAAATATAGCACAAAGCCTTGCGACAATGAATATTGTATTTCCGGGCCTTCCTGGGGGTCCGTTTGGGGCTCATTGGGGCCATCTTGGGGTCCTCTGAGGCTGTCCTGGAGCCCTCTTGGGCCGTCTTGGGGGGCGTGGGCCGTCTTGGGGCCCTCTCGGGGCCATCCCTCTTAGAGACCTGCTGTGGTCCTCTGGGGGCTCTCTCGGGAACCTTCTGGAACCCTCACGGGTTGGGCCGTCTTGGAGCCCACTTGGGCCGTCTCGGGGCACTCTTGGGGACCTCTTGGGCCGTTTTGGAGCAGTTGGGGTGGCCTCTTGGGCCGTCTTGGACGCTGTTCAGACCAAAAAAGCAAATGTGCTATAAGAAATACGTTTCATATGGGAATGGGGCGATGTTTACCCTTTGGCGGTCCTTTTGGGAGCCTCTTGGAGCGCATTGAGGGTCTCTGGCCGTCTTGAGGCCGTCTTTGGCTCGCATTGAACGCTCTCGGGCCGTCTTGGGGTCCTCTTGGACCTTCCTGAGACCGTCCTGGAGGTATGTTAGGCCGACTTAAGGACCTCTTGGGCCGTCTTGGTAGCCTCGTGTGCGTTCTTGGGGCCGACTTGGGTCATCTTGGGCCGAAAATTGCCAAAATGTAAGCTATTTGATGCTTGACACGGGGACGGAAAGTGCGAGTACTCTGAGAGGACGCGAGATCTCTTGCTCAGTGTCTTGGAGCCCTCATGGTGCTCCTTTGAGCCGTCTTGGGGCTGTCTTAGCCGTCTTGGGGGGCTTGGGCCGTCTTGGGGCCTTCTCGGGGCCTGCCCGGGCCCTCTTAGAGGTTTTCCTGTAGCCTTCTTAGGGCTCTTTTCTGAACCTTTTGGGGCTCTCAGTGGCCTCTCTTGCACTGGCGTGGGGCCGTTTTGGGGGCCTATTGTGCCGTCTTGGAGGGATCCTGGGGGCCCCTCGGGTCGTCGTGGACTCTGTTAACAGATATGCTAACAATAAACGTGTTCCCAAAAAGGAGTGTGACCAGCTTTGCCTGTTGGGCGTCTTTGCGGACGCGTCATGGAGCGTCTTCAGGGTCTCCTCGCCCGGCTTGAAGCCATCTTGGACCCTCTTTGAGCGCCCTCAGGCCGTGTTGGGGTCCTCTTGGGCCTCCCTGAGGCGGTCGTGGAGGTATATTGGGCGCTTTGGGGGCTATCTTGGGCCGCGTTGGGGCCATAGGAAGCGTTTTTGGGGCTGACTTGGGCGGTCTAGGACCGAACATGGCCGAAAATCTGGCCTTTGGGGAACCCTACTTGGCCGTCTTGGAGCCGCCTTGGGCCGTCTTTGTGACCTCTTGTGCCGTCTTGGGGCGATCCTGGCGGCCTCTTGGACCGCCGTGGACGCTGTGAAGCCCAAAGAAGCAAAGATGCTAAAAATGCACGCGTTCCCCAAAAAAGGAGTGGGACAAGCTTTGCCTCTCGGGTGTCCTTTTGGAGGCTCGTGGAGCGTCGTCAGGGCCTCTTGGCCGTCTTGAAGCCAGCTTGGGCCCTCTTTGAATGTTTTCGGGCCGTCTTGGGGCCTCTTTAGACCTCTTGGAGGCCATCTTGGAGGGCCGCGGGCGCTCTTGGGGCTGTCTTGGGCCGCCTTGGAGCCCTCTGAGGCACTCTTGGGGCTGACTTGGGCGGTCTAGGGCCGAACATGACAGATCTGGGCCTCTCTACGCCAACCCCCTCACACTCCCCCCCGCTATTTCCCCCGACTGACGGATCGCAACGCTACGCACGCTTTCCGTCATCCGCTGCCCCCACGTAGCTTGTCTCAAGGGTGCACGGCGTGCCAAATATGTTAGCACCCTAATGGTCATCAGGCCGACCCCACCGGACACCTGCGCGGATTTACAATGGGAGCTTCCCCCAAATGACATACACACACAGAGAAAAACGGCATCAAATAAATACATGTAGTCCCCCCCGTGTCCTAAACGAAATAAGAAATCGTTCCGAATATGTGGACTGGAAAGACAGAATCCACCCGTGCGGATGTAGAATGCGATTCCTGTGGCGGGAGACATGCATTTTCCAAACTATTGCGCGCAGTACACCTTGAATCCTTCTGTGCTGCGTTACACTAGTATGCATGTGTGGGGATATCAGCTTGCTTCCTGCTGTTGGATACACATAACACCCTTGCA